AAGAAAAAGGATTTAAGCTTAACCAACAATGAGTGAAACAAAATCTGCATTTGCAGAAAGAGCCATTCAATCATTAAAACACATAATTTTCCGCTTCATAGAAGAGCATGGTGAAAAGTTCGAACATATGCTACGTCAATTGATATCTACAATGAATTTTTGCCTCAATAGATCTACTGAGAACTCAACTAGATATGTTAAGAAGACCAATTTCCTCTCAATTCTGTACAACAAACCTCTAACAAGATATGGGAAGCCAAAATTCCGAAATGGAGATAGAGTGAGAGTTTCAAAGAATGATATTCCTTTCCGAAAAGGATACAAACTACAATTTACAGATGAAACTTTTAAAAATTTTGCAATTTTTCGAAAAATCCTCCTACAAAAGATCTCGACACAGAAGAAATAAAATTAGGGACAACATTAAGAAAAAGAGCTGAGAAAACATTCAAATTATAGGTATATTTTTTTCTATCGATCTGTTGTCACCGTTATTTTATTATTGAGCTAGCTCTTAACGCTTCTTTTAATTGTTTTCCAAAAAGTAGTCTTATTTTTTTACAAATTTTCTACACGAACAAATACATTTGAGAATAGAATGGGAGGTTGCTATATCAAAATTATCAGACCAATTTTTGTACCAAAACGTTATTGAGGGATTTTATTGAGGGAGTTTTTGAGGGAGTTAACTTTCCTAGACGGCAGAGAGAGTTCTGAGGAGAAAAGAATGATTGAACTGATACACATTGAAAAAGAATTGTATTCAAGTATTGTTGATACAGTTGTAGACATGAACAATTAATATCGAGAATGTCTAGGTGATCAAGTTTTTGAATTTAACGGAATACACGTATCAAAAAATAAAATTACACAAAAGATAACCATTCATTTACCTGAAGATCAATCATTGTTTCTGATTTATTTTTTGTTTGAGTCACATTTTTAGTTGTGATTTAGAACAAAAGCAAACAAGGGTTATAGTGAGTGGAAAAAGACCGCATTATCCTCAGTATTCTAACGACATTATAAGAATGCATTCTATGATGATATAGAGTGATATTATAGAATACAACATAACCGGTGATACAGAAACTTGCTTTTTGCTTTGTAATTCAATCATCTCCAAAGTGAAAACTGGAGATAGTTAAGGCTAAAAAAATTTCTTTGTTTCCGTAGGAATTACACGAGTTGTTCTCTTGTTCCGCGAGGTATGGAATAATAATTTTTGATTTCTACTTCAAACGAAATGATTGCTCAAAATTCAGTAGTTTTTTTGGAGACATGCGAGACAAAGTGGAAAAAATTTTGATGCTTTTGCGCAAACTCTTAGGAGAACTGCAACCTCCTTATTGAAAAATACATAGTACCAGCTGCAAAAAGAATTGAAGCAGATTTTTTTGAATTTGCAGCATCAGAGATCGGAATAGATGTCACTGGACAAAAAACAACACAAAGTATATCCAAAAAATCTTGGAACAAAAACAGTTCGGAAACAGTTGGCATGTGGAATAATGAACTCCAATCGTAGAGCTAGTAGAACCAGATGCCTTTCTCAAAAAATTAGATCGAAAAACAGTCGCTCTCGCAAAAAAAAAATTGACAAAACATAGTGAGCACAAACCGAAGTAGTCATTTCCGGTACGGAGCTTTTGCAAATTGTTCTTCTGAGATTTTGATAGAATCCAAGCTTTGTAAACAATTATGTCGTCTTACACACAAGAAGTATACCTCGTACTTCGCTTCATGAAAGCAGTTTTGAGTTTAATTTCGAAAGGGATTACAATCTCTATTTGGATAAGCGTGATACCCATCTAAATTTTTAGCTTCAATTATTCAAGGGAAGGTTGTTTGATGCTTTCAAGAGAAAAAAAGCAGAACATGCAAAAAATCTTGGAACAAAAACAGTTCGGAAACAGTTGGGATGTGGAACAATGAACTCCAATCGTAGAACTAGTAGAACCAGATGCCTTTCTCAAAAAAGTAGATCGGAAACCAGTCGCTCTCGCAAAAAAAATTGACAAAACATACTGAGCACAAACCGAAGTAGTCATTTTCGGTACGGAGTTTTTCTTCTTTGGAGATTTTGATAGAATTCAAGCTTTGGAAACAATTATCTCGTCTTATACACAAGAAGTATTCCCTAGTACTTCGCTACATGAAAGCAGTATTGATTTTAATTTCGAAAGGGATCGCAATCTCTTTTTGGATAAGAGTGATACCCATCTAAATTTTTAGCTTCAATTATTCAGTTAAGGTTGTTTGATGCTTTCATTGAAAAAAAGCAGAACATAAAGCAAATCCGAGGATGGTTTAGATGAAGAACCAGAACCTTATTTAACTTATATAAACAATCAATTACTTTCACTTTTATCAAAGTGTGAAATTTGTTCAACAAAACAATGGTTTACAACACCAATAGATTAGATGCTTATGAGGCTTAAATGTCGAACGAATTCAACTCGTCCGCTGTGAGTTCTAAAGGAAAAATTGCTTGTTATGAATTCAGTTTTGAAGAATTTCCTGATACATTCGATATGCATCCGTTCACTGATAGTGACATTTCCTTAGAAACTGGGATAGCTTTTTCATTGTATGGGGGCTTGCCATTGATTTGTTTAGTTGCAGAAAATTGTTGCTACCAAATACCAAAGTTCGACATTAACTAATTTGAGTTGGACTTTGTTTTTTTTAATGTCAACTGATGATTCAAAAGTTCGTCTGGAAATGGTTGATTCTTCGCTGTTTACCAAAATGATTTTAGTTGCTGTTTCTAATAATCATTACTTGCAATGGAATCTGGAAAGAGAACCTGCTCACTACAATTACATGGAAACTATAGCAAAAACCTTTATCATTCCATCTTGTTAAAACCAATTGATAAAATAAATTTTATTGAATAACGCTCCAATAAGAAGAATTACTGTTGCGATGAATAAAAACTCGGCTGATGCGGGATCTTTTCACTAAAACCTTTTCAACTATCATTAATTTGATTTTAGAGAGCTCAGAATTATTCGGAATGGAGGAACAATCGTTTCAATAGATACAACTTCTCCTCATTGTCCTTGTGTTACAATTTTGAGAGAAATGCAGTTTAACCAAGATTTCCCAGCTCTTTCTATAAAAGATTTTCAAAATCAATAATTTTTGTTTTTGTCTTGTCTTCACTACGGGATGCTGCTGAATAAATGCATTATCCAGATTTTAGTGTGGAAAGCTTGAGATTAGATATGTTTTTCCAATTTCCTTTGGATCAAGTCTTAGGAGAAAGACTATCAAATGTTCAAACTGAAAAAACCGGAACAATAGCTAAAAAAAGTTTTTTTTTGAGTTTTAAGGTTCCTATAAAAACATTTCATTGTTATTGTCTCTGTACTATCTATTTTGTTTTTCTTCAGACTTAAATCTCCAGAAAAAGCAGATAATGAACAGTGTTAAATGGAAAAACCGAGAAAGTTCTTCACCCAGGCTGTAAAACAGTGTTCAATAACATTGGTCAAGTTTATAAGACTTGTGTATGGGACTTTGTTGATTCAATATTTGATGCGTGTAAGTCACTAATCTTACCTTTCTTAATCCTGAAAATCATTATCAAGCTATCAATTTCTTTGTTTCAGATGTAAATCTTCAAAAACCTGCGAAGATGGATAATTTTTTAATTCTGAAAGTTATTGAAAAGATTGCTGAGCTGAAGTACATGGGATCTTACTGCTCTGATAAAGTACCTCAACCAACAAAATATGCTTTTGCGATCATCAACTCAGCTGCAAGTAATGATAGAGGAGATCACTATTGGTGAGCATGTTTTGAATTTTATAAGTAATTTCATGTAAAAAGGCATTTTCAATTGTAAGTTTAAATTATGGCAGTAAATTTACTGTACGATGCAGTGATTTTTGTACTTTCTTTATAATATATTTTTTTTCTCAAAAAAAAAATCGATTTTTCGAAGTATCAGTAGGATTCAGCATTTTTTAGGTAGATAGAGCACTGTTCCAAAATAAAAAATCATATATCAAAATATTTATAGGTCGAGTTATACAAAATGTTATCGTGTTATGAAGTTTTTCTGAAAAACGTTTCAAATTTTTTTGATGAAAAATCTAAGTTTTTGCTCAATAACTCTTACAGTTGAATTACCATGAACCAAAAAACTAATTACAGGACGTTCATTTCACAAAATAAACGTAATAAATCATTAATTGTACCAATTGGATAACGCACGCCGAAATTTTTGTGAAAAAACTAGACACTTCTACACAAATCCAAAAAAAGTATCTTGTTTCTAACCATTCTCTTACCATTACACAGACCGTGAAACCTTACCAATTATTTTCGCTATCTTAATATTTTGTAGACTTTATAACCAGTGTGCAGACATAGCATGGAAGACCGGAAAATTAAAATGTATCTTAGTACATGTGGTCTTCCATGGTGCCACCCCCCCATCACTTCAGCCCCAACATCTACTGATGGAGTTTACGTTGTATAAAAAAAAGTAGAGAAAGCTTAAATAAATAAAATCTTAAGTGAAAAGAAACATTTATGAAATGTATTACGTAGCAACTGCACGGAACAGGAAAGTGAGATAATTTTGAAAAAAAAGTTACAAAATTCATAATTAATTTTTTCTCAAAAAACACATTATTATCTATTGTAATCTATTATAATAGATTATATAGATTAAAAAACAATATGATTCAATCCATTTTTAATGTATTATAATTGAATATAGTCGAATATAATGGATTAAATCGATATAAAAAAATATAATAAATACCATTTTTGAAAGGTTATAATAGGTTTTTTTTGTAATTTTATAGATATTGACTATCAATTGACAATATAATCAATTGTGATCCATTTCACCTAGAATTCGGCATCATACTTTTTAGATGCTAATGAAAAAGTCGAGTTTGAATTGAACAACAAACACCTCAATCATATGAAGTTCTGCATTTTTCTTCAAAAGTCAAAACACTAATTCGACTATTGCGTACCTGCGATAACGGCACCAGTTGAAACAGCAGCCACACCAACACCAACACCACCGAGTACGCCAAGTGCAACTATACTTGCCGCGGTCTTTTCCACTTCTTCAGTCGAGTCTGTTGACCGGAGCTTGTTCGCCTGGTCGCGGATGAATGTCAACCCTGGATCTTCTCCTTCAAAGTGGTTCCTGACGATATCTTCGAAGTTTCCTTTTCCTTTTGCGTGATCGCGAGTAAATTCTTCGATGTCTATTTTCAGTAGCCTGAAGGTTTGTTGATACAACAAAACTTCTTCCACGATCAGTTGCTCCGGTTTTTTCTTGCAAAAAAAACTGGATAGCGGAATCTTATCACGCTTTGTGCAAGCAGATGCTACTTTTGGTATTCGCGACTGCAGGGCAGTTAACTTTGCCATAGCGACAACTTTGCCATTTTCCTTCGCATGTCTTAGCAACACGAGCTTTTTGGCCTCCGGGCAGTCTGTCAGTAGATCATCTCTCAATTTCGGCATCTCAAATTTCCCTCTTTCTGTCCCATCAACTAAGTACAGATTGAAATCACTTCCTTCTTCCAGACATTTTTCTTTCAACTGTATGATCAGATTTCCCCTGGTTTCGTCAATTGTCTTTTGTTCATTTCTTTTTCGTTTTTTCGCAAATTCAATTGTCACATCAATTTGAGTCCTGACAATATACCACTTTATTTTCATCGTTTTCGCTCCTTCAATCAGACTGCTTGCATCTGTCCCAATAACATTATTCAGAGCAATGATGAAAAAATCATATTTAATATCTCCTTCTGGGTTTAGCTGCGAATCTTTTGCTCTGATTTTTTGCCAGTAATTTCTTAGAAGAAAATTACTGCCATCGACTCCTGGTAGATCCCAAATTTTTATTCGTTTGTTTTCAGGATGTTCGAACGGACGTGGCTCAGTTGTGCACACTCCAGCCTCGTTCACAGCCGCAGCACCTGAGGGCAAATTACCATCTTCGTCATACTCATATCCAAGCAAGGTATTGATTAGAGTCGATTTGCCCACTTTTGCTTGTCCAATCACACCAACATTGATTTCCTGGCGCCTCCAATCTTGAAGAGTCTCCAAAGTTTGGTTGAAGTTTTTCTCCGCTTCACTTATCTCCTGATTTGAATTCATACCTAAGCAGTGTTTTAACCATTCATTTGTTAAACAATTCGCAACGAGTTTCGAAAAAGAAACGAGTTTAAAAAAAATTTGCACAAACAATATTTACAACTTCTTAGAAAATTTTGGCTGCAGTTTACACAGTCATCTTCAAAATCGGTGTTGTGTGAAAAATTGATACAATAATTTTTTCACCGGTATATAGTGGCGACTAACTATGTCGAGTGCAATCAAAAGTTGCAGCTGAAAAAAGTGAAAAAAATAGAGAATTTTTTCTGGAAGCTCTCAATTTGGGCTGCACACAAGTATATATAAACAAACACAAAAACTGTACATAACAGGGCAAAACCCCAACTGATCTGGCTTTTGCGTTTCTGATGCATCCTTTGGTAAGTTTGCAAAAATCTGATGCATCCTTTGGTAAGTTTATAAGTTTTGGAACCATACGCAGTCCTCAATTCCGTTCGGATTGGTTTTTAATCTTCGAAAGCGAAAGCTTAAATGTTTGCGCTTCAATTATCCCAAACTACTCAGCTGACTATTTTCAAATCACATCACAATAATACAGAAAATGACTGCAAGTAAATTGTCTTTCAACTTCAGTTATCATACCTCGGCAAAGGTTTTTTTCTGTCAATTAGCTGGCCTCACTTTCAATCAATGTTTTCAGCAAAAATGAAAAAATGGCAAAAATTTGAGTTTTAGACGATTTGTCTGCCAATTTCTTATCAAAGCTTTTGTTCACTGTTTCAACCGCAACCTTCCAATTGTTGAGAAATAAACAAACAATGATACTTTAAAGAGAATATTCAAAAAGCTACACTACAGAGTTTTCATGTTTTTTCAACAAGACAACTTCCGATTTAACAAACACAATGATTAATCGCGTGCCAAGAAAGAAAAAACTAAAGAAAAGTTTTGCAATAAATCAAATCTTCGAAGCATCTGACTGCTTTTAAAACTTGAATGAAAACGTTTCAAACAATGATCAATTTGATGCATCTCTTTCAAATTTGTCAGTCAGCTTCAATTTCCAAAGGAAATTAGAACTGCTATTAAAAAAAGATTTTTGGTTAAGTTATCTTACTTTTTCACCAAGTTTTTTTTTCATTTCACTAAACTTCTTTGAGTCATCATTCCTTGGAAAGTTGAAATTTTTAGTTTTTTATTTAACGCGATAATCATCAAATTGCTTCATTATAGTGCTTTTTTGTGACATTTTCTGAAAAAAGAAATATCTGTCATTGCTATGTTTGCAAATTTCACGAGGTTTCAGCCAATGTGTGACAATTTTCACAAAAACGCAGAATTGGTGGATTTTTTTTCTCAGTGATTATTAAAAAAAAATTTGGTACAGTTGATGGATTTGAACGTTGCGTTTTTTATCTATTCAAATTTTTTCGAAATATTGAAATACTGAAAAAAGTTTCCAGTTTTTCTAATAAAACTTTCAAAAGGGCACCAAATTTGTTTGCCTTAGATATCTTTCCAAATGCAAAACACTCCAGCAAATCGTTGTAATTAGTGGTTTTTGAACTCGGCGTTGCTCTCACAAAAACTTGCTGTGTTTTGAAAATAACATTTAATCCATTGTTTATTGAGTGTACATAAACTAGGGCTGCCAAAAAAGACAATTGTTTGCGGAAACATATAATAGGCTAAGGAATTGTTTCTTGATTATTAAAACATAAGAGATATAAGCCAAAACGAACATGGAATATGTGGCAATCAATTCTGAAAAACAGAGTCTGTAATATTATTATCTAATTGGAAACTATGAGTCAGTTCCAATATTTTGAAAAAACGTAACCTAATTATATATTATGCTACTATATGACCAAAATTATAAAATGCTAAAAAAAATATCGTTGAGAAAAAACTAATCGAGCAATAATAATTCGATATTTTTCGATAAATAAGCAACAAACTCATCTTGCTAAAACCTGTTCCATTATAAACAAAAGCTCAACGCTTTAAATTTTTTCTAAGCAAGACCAGAAACTTTATAAATCCGAAATGCGATTTGATGGGAAAGAGTATACCAGTTGCATTTCAAGGCTGTGCAAAGTTTCAGAATAATGCAGCAGCTGTCAAAATAAATTTTCAATTTTTCTTAATACACAAAGAAGCGAAGTTTACGTCCCAGACTGAAACAAGTTTTATTAATTACATAGGATTGGGGAAAAATCCTTTGGCACTACAGTTGCAATTTTATAGAGCAACTTACCTTTTTTTGTAATTTGTTTCAAGAAAAATATTCAAATTGGAATATTTATCAGAGGTTTCCTGGTAACAGATAAAGGTTTCAATAATAAAATACTGAATTAACTGTTGTCGACGAGAAACTGCAAGTTAATAATAAAAAAAGCACGTTACACTTAAAAAGAACCAACTGGCAAATAACTTTTAAATATATGTTTTTATGAATAACACAATCAGTTTTAGATTTTTTGTTATTCTTGTATTTATTAAGCTGCTAAATCTTTGCATGAAGACAGAAAAACTAGACGATTAACTTTTTTCATAACTTTACGTATTGGACTGATTTTTTTATTATGCTTTTATTGATTGTAAAACATTTACAACTCGTCATTAAAATTAAACATTCTTTTTTTTTGTGCAAAAAAAATCACTTCGTTTTTTAAACCTTTCAAAAAGAATTATGATTGAAACTTAATTAAAATATCTAAAACTTTTTTTGGAAAAAAAAACTAGATCGATAAGAGAAGTTATGATGTGGAAACTTTTTTGTGACACTTGAATTATCGATTTTGAAGCCGTTTGGACTTTTGTTATTGCAAGCCTTAATGTTTGTTCCTTTTAGCAATTCAAATTGACTTTAAAAAATCTAAATCCTAATTGTTTGAATATAAAATTTTTTTCGTTCGTTTTTCCTTAAGAAAATCAGCATTAGATTTATGCAAGTTGAGAAAACGATCGGAAAAACTATATAGCAATTTTTAAAATCAAATTTAGAAAAAACAAGATTAGACGTAGAAGTATACGTTGAAATGTAACAATCATTCTAATCCCGGAAATCAATAACCAGTTGATCAAAAATTCTAATCATACAATTTTTTTATAAGAAAATATTTTTTTTATCTTACAATTCCATATATTTTAATACGTACGCACCAAACATGAAAAATTCGTGAGCCTCATAAATAGATTCCCATAGATGAAAGTTGTTATTAGCAGTTTTTATAACTCAAGATTCAAAAAATATATATTTTTTGAGTAAAACTAAACTTTTTTAATGTTCTGTCTAAAAAGTATATCTTATCGATTTGATTTAAATTGATTCAAAATCATTCATTACGAGGCCAAACTTTGAATTTTGTGAATTATAAGCTGATTCCTCAACAGGCCAACAGAAAATTAATGAGGAAGCTGCAACTTTTTTATTTCTCTTTATCTTCTTTGCTGTTTGGATTCCATGGACAAATATCTAAAACACGGTTATCGTCAAAATTGCTCCGAAAACATGAAATTTTGCGGAATCCGTTACAAAATTTGTAGAATCAGCAATCGAACACAATCCAAGCTATTTTTTCTTCGATCAAATCGGTCAAAAAATAGCCAAATTGGGTCGAGTCGGTCAAAACATAGCCATTTTTAAACGAACCGGTCGAAAAATAGCCATTATTGGTCTGTTTGATTGAAACGTAAGTCCAACAACTTAACCCAGGCTACACGAATCTACGATGCTCATTTTTGTGGCAATTTCTATTAGATTTGGCGGCTGCCCAGGCTGAGGTTTTTGACAGATGATTTGACAGAAACAGTCAAACGATGTCCGAGTTTCGTTGTAGCTCAGGACGCTTCGGCTAATTTCCGATAAAGTTGAAAAAAATTGAACAATGTCCGGTATAGTCGAACAAAGTCGAGCAAAGTTGAACAAATTCGAACAATGTCCGCTAAAGTCGAACAAAATCAAAATCGGACATCGTTCGACTAAAAAAACTCGAAAACGGACATCGTTCGACCATTTCGGTGGAATCATGAGTCTAGCACCTCAACCCGGGTGTTTCTCTATCTTTTCCCCGTTTAGCTCCTTGAAATATTGTAAAATCAAAATGCGTCCTGACAATGTACCACTTTAGCTTCATTTCTCTAGCTTATTATCAATTGAAGCAGTAGCTCAGCAGTGTTTCAGTCATTCTATACTGTGAAACCATTCTCAACCAGATTCGATGAAAAAAAAAGCTTTCATAAACCCTTTTGAAAAAAAAAAAGATTTCCTACAACATTAAGAGGACAAAATTGTGAATTATAAGCATTTTCCGCGGATTCCGCAATAAGATTACTAGCTTTGATATCTCTTTGATCTTGCCGGCAACAATTTATCATCAAGCATTGGAGTTCCATGAATAAAAATGAAATAAATTTGAGTTTAATTGTCAGTGTCTACAAAAGTTAAAAAAAACAATCGACTATAATCAATTGAAAATGGGTTTTATTGCTACTTTCTAACAAATAATTCGAATCGATTGCAAATTTTTTATAATCTTTTTTTTTTCACTTTAATGGTTAAAGACAATAAAACTTCACTATAATCACCTTTTCTCAATTTTTCTGGTTCAATTTTCATCAGTTTTGAATTTGGGTTGCAATAATTCCGTGCCAAATATATATCAATTTACATCCATAGCATCTGGTGGCATAAAAAAAATCAAAAAATTTTTAAAATATCGATGATTTCTTTGCATAATTTGCGTTCAAATCCTGATCTAATTTTGAGCACAAAACTTGGTTTGTTTTGACCATTGTTCAAGCTCGTTTCATAAGTTACAGCTCAAAAAATAAATCTACTTTTCATTCATAATTTTCTCTGAATTAATTGCATATTCTCAAGATCAAAATCAGATTCATAGCAAAAACTTAATTGATTCATGACATAAGTTTTTGCTTGAAATCTGATCAAAATTTATGGTTTTGTAGATTATAATTTTATCTTTTGGAATTCAAAAATGATTCATAATGACCATTTTCTTGATTTTTTATTTTGGATTTTGCCTAAATCGATTTGAAATAATAGTTTCAGCCATTAAAACTGATCTGCCTAAGATTTTTTGAAACGTTTTAAATGGATTTTAGCCAAAATTGATGGCTTTAAGCAAGATTTGGATTTGATCAAGTTTTTAAAAACTGAAATCTGTTTTGAATATTCAAGAAAAAGACTGATTTCTATCGATTTGAAATCCAATTAGTTTCCTAAAACGTGTATAATTAATCGATTTAGTTTAAATTGGTTAAAAACCAGTTTATACGAGGCCAAACCTTGAATTTTGTGAGTTATGAGCTGATTCCTCAACAGGCCAACAGGAATCTGCAACTTTGTTATTTCTCTTTGTTCTTCTTTGCTGTTTGGGTTCCATGGACAAATATCTAAAACACGGTTATCCTCAAAATTGCTCCAAAAGAATGCAATTGTGCGGAACCGTAACAAATTTTGAAGAATCAGCAATCGAACACAATCGAAGCTATTTTTTTTAAATCAAATCGGTCAAAACATAGCCAAATTGTGTCGAGTCGGTCAAAAAATAGCAATATATGTGTTCATTAAATTTAAGTTGTCGCGGAATCCGCAACCGTAATTGTAATCCTTAGAAGTACCAAAGGGTCCCTTTGGTACTTCTAAGGAAATCCAGTTTTGGCCGACCAACCCTAAAATTTTTCCAAAGGCGCCTTCGGCGCCAATATATACTAATTTTGAGGGAGGAGCTGGCCAATTTATTTATACTAATATATACTAATATATATTAACTTTGCTGGCCAGTGACTGTCATCAAAATTTTGCCTGCGGCGCTGAAATTTTGGCCAAAACAGGGACTTAACCGAGTTTAGGGAGAGCTCGCAAAATGAATCAATTCGGTCAACCTAAAAAAAGTTCGACAAAAGTTTCTCACATTTTTTGAAAATCAGCTCCCCCCTCGAGAAAATTCTAGATCCGCCCCTGCAGGTATTGGTAAGCTTTGTGAAATCCACGAAAGTTTTGTAATTGGAACTCAATTACATTTAGGAACACGTTGAAAAGTTTGTCGCCGGAATCCAGGAACATATAGACCCAAAATTGAGCGCCTATCCAGCGAACAGTTTGGCTTCGTAATAATTTTGTTAGTGCGGGTGGTATGGCAGAAAAAAATACAGAGAAGTTTGTCAGTCTGCTTCCGTAGCGTTCACTTGTTTGATTTACTCAAGTGATTGATACAAATTAAGTGCAGTAGCTGAGAAAATGAATACAATTACATTTTGGTTTTTAAATATCATCATAGTCGTTTGAAACTCTTGGTTGCTATATCAGTTCAATAAATAGCAGTCCTTATTGTGAATTCATAAATACATATCATACCTAATTGCTTTTATTCTCTGGTGATGTTATCATATTGTAATCGCTTTTCTTTTCTTTCGCTTCATTGCCCGTCGCCCTAACCTCCGAAACTCTGTTCTCCACTCTCGAAAGCGTCAACCCACAGCAGCTGCAATGATGAACTGGAATTTTAAATTTTTTCAAGTACAACGGAAGAAGACAAAAAGGCCATATTAAAAGCATGAATAACAATATAAATATTATGTACGCAGTCTTCGTCCGCTCAGTCGTGACTATAGTAATAACTCGCTGTCGACACCTTGTGCAATATGCCATGACAGGCTCGTGGCCTTCGGGTTCCGAGCAAAAGGCGTCTTCGACAAAAGGCGATGGTTCGCTCGAAAGCGTTTCTAACTGATCACGTGACAGTGATGTCGTCAGGGTGTTGTCGTCATGTGACGTAATAGTTAAGTCCAATACATGCATTCTCGTGTGTCCTCGTTTGTTCGGGTGGTTCTCAACATCGCTGTTTCGGAACGTGGAATATCCGGGCAGGGGCGAGAGCGGCTCTTTTCTTGTCTTTTTTGCACTTTCAGATAATAGAGTTTGATTTGCAGTATACTCATGGTACGAAACTTCATTTAGATTGTAAGACTGATCCGAGTAGCGGCGACTTGGCATCGCGCCGAGTGACTTCGTTCGCACTCGTTTACCGAGGTCATCCGACAGCTCGGACGATCGTCTCTCTTTTTTTGCGACGTCGTCCGTGGCTGACAAAGGTCGTGATTCTTCATTTTTCTTCATTTTGTCTGCTGCTTCAATTTTGAGCAATTTCTAGTGTGTCTCCATAGTTGTACATATAAGTAATGTATAACATAAGTCAAGCTATGATATCTAATTAAACTTATAATTTTATATATTTTTTTATGAAATGTCTTCTGTCTGCTAGGAATCAAAGCGCTGACTTCGAAGTCAACTGAATACTCGGAAAAATGCGGGATATTCAGCCGATTCTAAAATTTAGCCGCTGGCTCCACCAGCAGTTTATAGTCTTTCTCAGTTTCAGCAGAGAAAGAAGCTTTCATTTG